CAAAGTGGTCCTAACCCTGAAATGAATGACCCGGATAAAATGTACAGAAAAGGTAAACTTTATAATTTGATGGCAAAATGACTACGCTATAGGTTTGGTCATATTTAATAGTTTCAATTAAAAAAAATCTTATTGCTTTGCAACATTCTTCTTGAGAAAAATATAACTCAATTTTCTTTCTTAAAAGCCGCATAAGGCACATTTATTCTGATCTTTAAATGGAGGATCAATTAACAGGTCCGTCAGATTAATTTTCTAGCTTGTGAGAATTTTTAATCACTCCCCTCCCATTTTATAAACCATTGCTACAGGCCTTCAGTGGGAAATAAAACCAAGTAGTCATTAACCATGCAAATGGAGTGGTGTTTTTTGTTTTTGATGCTGGAAATTTTTGATTTGCCTTGCAGGAGAAGTGGGAGATTGGAAGAACTGGTTCACTGTGGCTCAGAGCGAGGAGTTTGATCGAGTTTTTAAAACAAGGATGGCTGATTCAAAATTTAAATTTACTTATGAATAAGTCATTTATTTTTTAAAAAACCTAGTCATATTTAACAAATACATATACATGTACCTTTTGAACAAAACAAAAAAAAATCCACGAAAAAAAATTAAGTTGGTGAAAAGCGCTTCTCTGTTATCTAAATAGGGTGTTTCAACAAACGTCCCGACTTTTGATGTCTGTATTTTCGCGTAATAATAAATTATTTATAAAAAGTATAACTGTATGTTATCTCAGTAATTACAAATGAATAATGAAAAAAATTGTAGTATGATGTTTATTGGTGATTAAGGGCACGGCTGATAACATTCACAACACAAATCACAATTGTTAAATGTGGGGTGCATACAACTAGCAAGCCCCAACAAATATGAACAACATATCATATCAAATAGGTGACATTTATCCTGGGAGTGGCAAGATTCAAGGTCAAAGTTCAACAAATGCATAGGTGACCTTGATCCTGGGAGGTGCAGGACTCAAGGTCAAAGTTCAAAACATCAAAGCAATATGACCTTGCCACTGGGAGGTGCAGAGGTCAAGGTCAGTTTCAAAGATGTTTCACAAATTATATTGCAAGGGCAGCTCGTTATGCTGAAGATATGTGTCAGCCATGCCAGGTGTGAAGTTGTGTCAGCCATGCCAGGTGTGTCAAATTTTGAATTCTGAAAAGACTTCAGGTTTATCCTCTATGAAATTATGATTGATTGTATACTCAACAAAAAAAAATGATAATCTAAGTTTTCAGTTTAAACCTTATTAAATGTGATTTTAGATAGTGCTGTGATACATTGTAAAATTCAAACTTGTAATATGTTGCGAATTGAAAAGTGAAGTTAATGTCAATGTTGTCGCATTCAAATTCCAGGGGCATACCGTCATGTCCTTTGCGACGTCTCAGCACTAGTGGATTACCAATGTACGGACGTCGTGCACGAAAACCAACTCATCTCAGTCTCTTGCGAACAATATGTGCACTTTTATGCTCATTCCTTCATCCAGCAATTTTTAAATTTTAGCAGCAGCTTGCACAGCAGTTCTGAATCAACTGAGCAGGTGCTGAAGGGGGATCTGACGGTCCTGCCTGGGTGTGGTACTAGTAATCCGCGGCCATTTCTTGGTCTTTTATCCGTGTTCCTAGCTGGTGGAGACGTATATTTTACCGCTGCAAAGCAGATTGACACAGTACATCAAATACAGTTGCAACTTCCTGTCGCGTAGCTCAGGTTAGTATCCTCGTTAGCACTGTTGCGTTTTTGTTTATGCGTGCCATTGTAGCATCAACATGCAATCAAATTAATCTTAAATCTAGGTTTTATTGGAGTGTTCATTGTTTTGACTGTAAAACTTACGAAACGAAATGATGACTTTAAACAAGACTGCTGATATTCTTGTTTCAAATACTTGTTTGTCAATAATTTACCTCGTTTAAGAGAGCATGCACTTGCGTATCGAATCAACTGAGATAAATTATATAAACTCCGTATGCAGGTGATGAATGTATATTGCTGCATAAGTAAGGGAAGTCATCACTTTTATCATGGAGTTTGGTTGTTAGATTACTATTAACGTCTTTTTCAAGTCAAATATCAAAACATGTATCAGACTCTGTAGTATCTTTTATCTCAAGCTCACCAGGATATATCGTATCGACATAAGAATGGGAATTACCATTCGTCGTCGATATATGTAAATGTCGAGTTGAAGGCCACAGAAAGTGTTTTCTTCTTTTCACGCATAAGATTTTGCAAAAATTCTGCTTCATATAAATACAAAAATAGGTAGACTAATAACGGGACGCAATAGGTACTCATCGGAATTCAAATACATTGTTGGAAGACCTGGTTTCCAAAAACAACATAGATGTTGTCAATCAGAAACTCGCGCATCTTTCTGATGTCAACTTCAGAGTACTTGTGTTTACAATTAAATGTTTTTTAACAAAAAAGGAGTCCAATGCCAACGTATTGAATCCTGGTGTTGCGAGGATGTGTTTTGTAAGGCCTAGCAATTGATATGGCAGATCAGCGGAGAGAAGAAATGCCCACTGGTCTTGGAAAATTATTTTGATACAGAAAACTTTAATATAATTTCTTTTCAGGGGAAGTTGGAGATTGGAAAAATTGGTTCACTGTGGCTCAAAGCGAAGAGTTTGATAGAGTTTTTAAAACAAGAATGGCAGATTCAGAATTTAAATTTTCCTTTGAATAATTCAATTTTAATTAAAATTCATGGCATTAAAGAACAAATGAATATTTTAACATTGAAAAAGAACGAAACAATAAAAGAGAAGAATTCTGCTTTACTTTGTCATTTCAGTAGTGTTCAATTAGATTAAACGTCATTCCAGCAAGAAAAGGCTTGCAACAAATTTTCCGACATAACCTTGACAAGTGCTTTTTTTTTCCAGATTTCTTAAGGACCATTTACAAATGGTGCAGTAGTTGTACCTCCCTTTGACACCAAGAAAAGTGTATGGTGTCTGTCATGCTCATTCTGAAATAGTCCAATTCATTACACTTCCTGTCCTCCAAAGAACATTTGAATAGTTTTTTTCTATCATAATGTGGGGCCAAGAAAACTTGTTGATGAGAGAAAAAGAGGGAATTTCTTTGTTCTTATTAGATCACAATCGTAACAAACCCCAAATTTGTTTAACTTGAGATACTTTTCAAATCAAATCAAATGAATGACTTACACTTCAAAATGATTTCTTTCCCAAATAAACACATTAGTACCTGACAGGAATTAAAAATCTTCCCTTGGGTACCATGGAGAGGTTGCTTTTCTGTACGTACAGATGTAGCTGCAGATCTGTAGCCCACTGGTCTGAAAAAATTGGGATGGATGACCAGAGAGCAAGTTACTCAAAAGTTCGTTTATGACTACATGTTGGTGTGCTCAATTCATTGTACTGAAACGGAAACCTGTTTCCTATATGTTCATTATAGCGAAAGTTATCGCCCTTGTTAATTCTAATTACTATTTGTACTCATTAAAAATAAATACCTAATTAGTGTTGAGTTCCAATTAAAGTTGTCAATTATAATCATTGTATGTTACTTTAGTTGAGTTACTAAAGATTGGTTGATTGGAAGCTTGATTAGTGTTTTAATTAGTTTGTAAATAAATAATCACTATGTAATAAAGATGGTACTTGGGATATATAGGTTTTTACTGGCATTTGTTTAAGAAAAGGTTCCAGAGATAAAATTCGACAAATCTTGTTGGTACATGTAAGTGTGCGGACTTCCCTGCTTATATTGTACTGTTTTAAGTAGTAAGTGAGTAGTTATCCCTGCTTATTGCTTGACAGAGTGTGTGGTCATCCCTGCTCTGTAATTGGCATCTCATAGTAGCAAGTGTGCGGACTTCCCTGCTTGTTGCTGCGCAAGATCAGGTGTGCGGACATCCCTGCCTGCATCTTGTGGTAGAGCATTGGTGTGCGGACATCCCTGCCAGTGTGTCTAGTCTAGAACCGTATTAGTGTCAAGTGTGCGGTCATCCCTGCTTGTCACTGCGCAAGCGCAAGTGTGCGGTCATCCCTGCTTGTCTCTTGTGGAAGTGCGCTGGTGTGTGGACTTCCCTGCCAGTGTCACTTGTTCGCTACCAGTAGAGACCTTATGTATACACAGTACCAAGTGATTAAGACTGCGCATTGTATATATTTGCAGCATCTCAAGGCTATCCGTTTTTATCACGGGTACGAGCCTGCGGGGGTTCACAGGCAGTGACCTCCCTTGCACGTTACAGTACCTGTATAAAGATTGACGTATTTAAAATATAGCGTAATCACTGGGTATGGAGTAGTTGGTGTTATCATGAATTAGCTCTACACGTACATGTACATGTCTGTGCCATGTATTGTATATATAAAGATTTCTTAGCGGTATTCATAGATTAGCGCACCTTTGACTGTGCCAAAGCCGGTAAAATATGAAGCTCGCTTTTCAGTACACAGCCAGCCTTTGTTTATGAATTTTATATTATACAAATAATAAATTATACAATACAGTGAAAATTAGACAAAAACATTTAAAAAATATACAATACATATAAAAATTATATATGTACATTATTAATAAGAAATTTTAAAATATAAATAGTAAGCTATAAAACAAATAGAAATTAATAAATTATACAATTTAAATTAAAAATAATATACTAATATTTATCAGAAATTATACAATAACAATAAAAAATTATACAATGCAAATAAAAATTATACAATACAAATAAAAATTATATTGAATATAAACTAGAAATTTAAAATAAATAAGAAATTATATAACACAAATAAGAAATTATACAATAAATAAAATAATTAATTATACAAGAAATAATACAATACACAATTAATAACATATTATGCAAAAAATATAAGAAATTATGCAATGTAAATGGAGAAGAAAAGCATATAATACAAAAAGAAACATTATTCATTCAAACGGAAAAGATCTAGCTGCAACTATGCAGGCTGAATTAATTCTAAAAGAAAGTGATGGCGTTCCATACGTGGGATTTAGGACAATTCCATGGAAATGGCCGAGTAGTTACGACTGAGTTTCACAGGAAGGCCGAAGAGGCAGATTTCAGAAGGTAAGGAACGTTATATAGATAATTGTTTTTAAAGGTAAAACATTGCCTGCTTTTTAGTCTAGACTGTGTATTCTTAGGCTCTTATAACATGTATAAAGAAAATGCACTAGGCTATAAACAATCTCTCACCAGAGGGCGTTTTACGCGTCCGCTCCAACACCTCTGTTATCGTCTAAATTACAAGAATCTTGTAAAACGAAAATAAATTATAGATTTCTACCAACTTGGTATTTTTTAAAAATGAAATTGGGCTATAAACTGAATGATAAATTAATGGTTATGGAAGGCCTGGACTGTCTCATCATGGCAAATTTATAATGTTCATTGATCATGATTAATTAATTATTTTTTTGGAAATGTATGCATTTAATGTTATATACAGGTTGTTTTAACAAACATATCCCGACTTTTGATGGTTATATTTTTGCATAAAAATAAAATATAAAATTTTAACTGTATTTTAAAGCCCATTTTCTTGCAATTTCATTGTGATATAAACAATATAAAATAAAATCATTACATTTTTTCCGCTGAAGGTTAGATTACATTTTCAAAAATTAGTTTGTGACGTTTTTTCTTCAGAAATGGATCTATAGATTTTTATAAACTAAACAATACAAACAGAAAATCTTCAAAATTAGTGCAAAAGATTTTGAAAAAAAAGTACTTATATGAAAACTATCTTTCTAGGAAACAAGACTTTTCATTAAAAATGTTCAAATATATGTCATAAAGGACTTCAGAGACAAAATAAGGATGCTGACTGAAAATAATGTGACTTTTTAGAACATATAAAAATGATGTTAAATTGAAAACTGTTGCTGATGTTTAAACTTTAAAAATGCCCATCTTAAAAAAATTGATCCAGAATTACTTCAACTTTCATATTGATAAAATTGTTTGGTTATGTGGTTTTCATTTTTGCAAACAAATTCTTTTGTTAATACTTTGTAACTAGTGAAACCGCAAAGTCGGGACATGTTTGCTGAAACACCCAACATTCAAATCAAATACTTGATAATTTAATGATATTTTTTCGTAAGTATTACGCAAAAATGCCCTATGAAATGCATTTCAGTCTTTTACTTGTGAAATTTACATAATATTTATTTACATAATTCAATAATCTAGTAAAATAATTTAGTGAAAAAATAATTAATAAAAATATGCATACATAAATTATATGTATTAATGATTTAAAATAATGAGGTCATATAACTGCATATCATATTGAATTACTAGTATCTGTACCCGGTATTTTAAATTACAAGTCATGTATCTTTTGCGTTTATCGTTTTTGGATTTATCGCGTTTTTTTTCGAAAGTACAAGGATAATTATGTGCCAACAACTTTAGGCATTGAAAATAGGGATTTACCTTTTTTGGTGGTTTAGCCCCCCCCCCCCCCCAACTTTCATTTTGCTTCCGATGCCCATGACTGTTATGGTATTATATGATTTTTTAAAAAAGAAAACAAGACCTTCAATCTATGTCACGTTGCCATGATGAGGCAGCCAATTGATTTTTCAAAATGTATACATAAATGGCGATTTGCCAGTGTATATATAAATTTGAAAAATCATTTGAACTTCTTTCAATGATAATTATTAAGAAAAACAAGGATATAATGAATTATAAGTACATATATCAATTGTGCTAGATTTTAGCAGTTCATGTGCGATCACGAAGAACAACACCGTACATGTGACTCTGCATGGAATTACTGAGGAAGAGATCTTTACATACTTATATTCGAAAAAAATGAAAAATATTCAAGATGACTCATTCGAAATGACAACATCCTTTATTTTAAGACCTTTGTTGAATTGATTGATTGATTGGAAATTGTTAAACGTCCCTTTCGAGAATTGCGTGGAGAAACTATGCCTATAGCCAATGCTGTTTTTGTATGTTCGTGCATATTCATGTTAATGTTTGAAACTACTGACAGTGATGTAAGTTTATTTTTCTTAGATATATTTGTTTAACTATGGCCAATCAAAACCCAGAGACGCCACCAAAAAAGTATGATATCGGTAAGTTATTTGCTTTATTTCAAATACAAGGTAAAACGTATTAGAACATGATTGACTTATTATAATATATGAATAAAATTATATATTCCAAAGCGAGTTTAGAGGGCGAAGAAATAATTGAACGGAAAACTCCGAGCGGATACACAACTAAATACGTTAAGTTACATGGACATTGGAGAACATTCGACCACGTTGTATCCGGATTCATTCCTGACCCAAGGTCACATGTACCGGAAGTCCGTCAGATGGAAGTATTTGATGATGATGTTTTCATATATGCCTATCCAAAATGTGGTAAAGGAAACTTTCTGATTCATTTTAGCAATCCATTAATCTTAATCTGGTATTAAGACATACCGAATATTTTTCAGTGGTTATGAAAAAAATCACTCAATCAGCTACAGTGACTCTCTCTCTCTCTCTCTCTCTCCCTCCACTAGGAATATACAAAATTCTGATTTCTGAAGAAAAAAAACTATAATCAAAACTTATTCCATTTGATTGATTTTAATGTACCTGTAACTTTCCATCCTTTTTGATAATGTTCAATGGATATAAAATGCTGCTGCATTAATTTTTGTTTTATATACTTATAGGCACTCATTGGGTATGGGAAATGATTTTCATGCTACAAAGAGGAAAGGCTGAATATGACAAACGACCCAAAGAGGTCGCCATGTTAGAATTTCACTCTCTAGATAAGTTATGCGAGGAGGAAAGACCAAGGGTTTTTAATACCCATTTATATCCCAACGAGGTACCCACTTCTTCGCTAGAGGGAAAAGGAAAGGCCTTGATCTTACTAAGGAATCCGAAAGATATAGCGGTGTCTTTTTTCAATCATATAGAAGACCTGAAATTTAAAACGTCCAAAATGACATGGGAGGATTGGGTGTATTTCTTTAATAAATATGGAGGTAACGTTATAGTTTTTGAATTACATAGCTTTATTTACCTGCAGATCTGTAGCGTTGTGGTTTTATATATTTGTCTTTGACCATGACGCTACAGATCCTGTAATGCAAAAAAGGTGCAATTTACGGTGCAATATTTTTTGCGCGCTTTTGGGGGGAATTTCTCCACTTTCAAGCATTGGTCAATCAACTACCTTTCACTCCCGAATTCTAGACACATTCTGTAGCCAATATGTATATTTTATCCACCTCCCGACCATTTGTAGTTGTCTCTACTGGCAATAAAGTCGCTAGAAGTGAATTTTCAGCAATCTAACAAATAATTTTAATCAAGCGAGTTTATCACTTGTAGAGACGTGTTCAACTTTTATAAAGGGTTAATACTTTAAATGTACAGTATAATGCTTTTTATTAAAAGGTTTTTTTTTTATTTCACATAATATGATACCGTATAAAATAACTCATAAAAAAAGCAGGTAATGAATTCTTAATTACAGATGTATATTAATAATAATAATAATTGTGTTACTTTGTAGGAATAATCGATTGGTTTGAATACACCAAGGAATGGGAAAACGAAAGTAAGAAAAAAAAGAGGACATACTTATGTCTACACTACGAACAGATGAAGAAGGTTTTAGCCACGTTTATTTAATACTAACTTGCAAAAAAAAAAAAGATGATGATGAGAATATATTTTATTTGTTTATTTATTTTCAAATTATTTTATTAATTTATTTAGTTACATTTTTTAATGAATTCTCTTTCTTTCTTTCTTTTTTTTTTGTTTTTTGTACTGATCCTTGAAATTATGTATACTGATTGCCTTCATTTTCAACAAAGAGCTAAAATTTTACACATTTTTAAAAAAAAATCTATATTTGAATTTTAGAGCAAGATTGTTCATATTTTTATATTATAATATATACAAGGCTTTGTGTAACCTCATAAAAAAATCATAATGGTTTCCCCTTTAAAGTATCACTCTATAGAATCCTTAATAAAAACGTTTTTTCTTCTTTTTTTAAAAATACAACATTTGTTTTACACGTTTTTTCTTCTTTTTTTAAAAAATACAAAATTTATATTACATTTAATGTATATTTGGTAGAATCCACTTGCTACTGTGAAGTCTATAGCTGACTATCTAGGCATCCCTTGTACAGATGCTTTAGCAGAGGAAATAGTTCATAAATGTAAGATAGAAAACCTGAGAGTCGCCAACAGAGAGAAATTTGACCACAGGAACCAAAGTGGTCCTAACCCTGAAATGAATGACCCGGATAAAATGTACAGAAAAGGTAAACTTTATAATTTGATGGCAAAATGACTACGCTATAGGTTTGGTCATATTTAATAGTTTCAATTAAAAAAACTCTTATTGCTTTGCAACATTCTTCTTGAGAAAAATATAACTGTCAATTTTCTTTCTTAAAAGCCACAAAAGGCATATTTATTCTGATCTTTAAATTGAGGATCAATTAACAGGTCCGTCAGATTAATTTTCTAGCTTGTGAGAATTTTTAAACACTCCCCTCCCATTTTATAAACCATTGCTACAGGCCTTCAGTGGGAAATAAAACCAAGTAGTCATTAACCATGCAGGTGGTGTGGTGTTTTTGTTTTTGAAGGTGGAAATTTTTGATTTGCCTTGCAGGAGAAGTGGGAGATTGGAAGAACTGGTTCACTGTGGCACAGAGCGAGGAGTTTGATCGAGTTTTTAAAACAAGGATGGCTGATTCAAAATTTAAATTTACTTATGAATAAGTCATTTATTTTTTAAAAAACCTAGTCATATTTAACAAATACATATACATGTACCTTTTGAACCAAAAAAAAAAAATCCACGAAAAAAATTAAGTTGGTGGAAAGCGCTTCTCTGTTATCTAAATAGGATGTTTTAACAAACGTCCCGACTTTTGATGTCTGTATTTTCGCATAATAATAAATTATTTATAAAAAGTATAACTGTATGTTATCTCAATAATTACAAATGAATAATGAAAAAAATTGTAGTATGATGTTTATTGGTGATTAAGGGCACGGCTGATAACATTCACAACACAAATCACAATTGTCAAATGTGGGCTGCATACAACTAGCAAGTCCCAACAAATATGAACAACATATCATATCAAATAGGTGTCATTTATCCTGGGAGTGGCAAGATTCAAGGTCAAAGTTCAACAAATGCATAGGTGACCTTGATCCTGGGAGGTGCAGGACTCAAGGTCAAAGTTCAACACATCAAAGCAATATGACCTTGCCACTGGGAGGTGCAGAGGTCAAGGTCAGTTTCAAAGATGTTTCACAAATTATATTGCAAGGGCCGCTCGTTATGCTGAAGATATGTGTCAGCCATGCCAGGTGTGAAGTTGTGTCAGCCATGCCAGGTGTGTCAAATTTTGAATTCTGAAAAGACCAGGTTTATCCTCTATGAAATTATGATTGATTGTATACTCAACAACAACAAAAATGATAATCTAAGTTTTCAGTTTAAACCTTATTAAATGTGATTTTAGAGAGTGCTGTGATACATTGTAAAATTCAAACTTGTAATATGCTGCGAATTGAAAAGTGAAGTTAATGTCAATGTTGTCGCATTCAAATTCTTGGGGCATACCGTCATGTCCTTTGCGACGTCTCAGCACTAGTGGATTACCAATGTACGGACGTCGTGCACGAAAACCAACTCATCTCAGTCTCTTGCGAACAATATGTGCACTTTTATGCTCATTCCTTCATCCAGCAATTTTAAATTTTAGCAGCAGCTTGCACAGCAGTTCTGAATCAATTGAGCAGGTGCTGAAGGGGGATCTGACGGTCCTGCCTGGGTGTGGTACTAGTAATCCGCGGCCATTTCTTGGTCTTTTATCCGTGTTCCTAGCTGGTGGAGACGTATTTTTTACCGCTGCAAAGCAGATTGACACAGTACATCAAATACAGTTGCAACTTCCTGTCGCGTAGCTCAGGTTAGTATCCTCGTTAGCCCGGTTGCGTTTTTGTTTACGCGTGGCATTGCAGCATCAACATGCAATCAAATCTTAAATCTGGGTTTTATTGGAGTGTTCATTGTTTCTCTCAATCCAAAATATCAATGAAAATAGACCCCCAATTTACCAGAAATCATGTAAAACACTCTTTATATAAACATGATTAATCAAGGGAAATAATTCAGCACTTGGGTTTCAAAAGCACATGTTGTCCTTTAAATAGGTCGCAGATATTCAATGACAAAAAGATAGTTGTTTCATATACTATTTCAAAACTTCTTTGACGAGTAAAACAACATGCGTTTCTTTTTTTGTTAAGTATAAATTGTTATAAGTAGACGCCAACCCTTGCCGTTGGAGAGCTGCAAATTTTTCCTATACTCGGCACCCAGAGCCATTAAGCAAAGAATTATTTTTCATGCAAGTATCTGCGACACGGGACCTCCGTTTATACGGTCTCATCCGAAGGACCAGTCTTCACATCCAACAGTGGGATTCGAACCCGCGACGTAAGGATCAACTCCTTACTTCACGACTCTAGATCAAATGCTCTCACCATTGCGCCATGGCGGGCGATTCTATGCAAATATTAATATAATCTCAAAGTTTCAAACTTGTTGATAAATAACTTATATGTGTAAAAAGCATGGAAAATTAAAATGCCTTTTTCCTTTGTGTGTGTGTCGGAGGGTGTGTGTGTCAATTTTCAATTTAGAAAATTGTGTCCCTTTCGTGTCCCATAGTAGCTAGACCCTCTTAAAATGAATGCTTTTCAACCAAAACCACCTTACATTTTGATTAGAATAAAAACAAGAGAAGTCAAAAGTATTCAAATATTATTACTTACACTCTAGACAAAACAACCCAAAATTAAATTAAGAAATTCAACTAATGATGTAGCCAAATAGTCTTTATTGCTGCTAATATCATATATAGCAATCAAAGATATGCACCAGAAAGGAAAATTACATAACATATAAATAAATTAACATTGTGTTTCAGATGAAACAATTAAAAAATTAAGGTCTGAAGCTGTACAACCACAAGTAAATGTTAAAATAAGACACTAAAATTGTAAACAAGACATAAATACCCTCTTGAAATTTATACACGTAATAAGAAATTAAATATAAAAAAAAAACAATTTCATGTCTTAGCATAGTCAACATATTTAAGCAAAATATTATCTTCAGAAAAAGAGTTCCATGGGCCACAACACTCTCCAAAGTCATATTTGGCTCAGTTGCTTTAAAAATATTTTTGTATTTCTTTGAAAAATATCAAACTCATACTGTTTCCATAAAAACATTCTGGTTCAGAATTTTTTTTGTTAAGATTTTTGTCTTCATCATCAAAAGTAGCCCTCAATTTTCACAGGAGGGTATTGATTTAAACAACTTGGAATATACTTGTAGAGTCAAATAGTTATGTTTTCTTAAAATAGATATGAATCCTCCTTTGAACAAACACTCAAGGATGTTTTATTTCAAGATTGGTTAAAATTGAATATATGGTTCTTGACAACAGGAAAAGTCGGACAAAATTTGTCAGAAAACCTCTCTGAGATCTCAGCTAATATGAGCTTATAAAAACAAACTTTTATTTAGATTACATCTAGTGAAGCTACCCAAGAAAGGAGACCTGGGACAATGCAAGAACTGGCGTGGCATCATGCTCCTCTCTGTCCCAAGCAAGATCCTGACAAGAATAATACTGGAAAGGCTCAAAGATGCTATAGAAGAACGACATCATCCTGAACAGGCAGGCTTTAGAAAGGACAAGTCCTGTACAGGCCAGATCGCCACTCTACGTATAATAATCGAACAGTCACTGGAGTGGCAGTCAACACTGTATCTTAACTTCATAGACTTTGAAAAGGCCTTTGATAGTGTTGATAGAAAAGTCATCTGGAAACTATTACAGCATTATGGAACGCCTCCTACCTTTATCAACCTGATAAACAATTGTATGACGAGGCAACATGCCAAGTCATCCACAATGGAAAGCTTACTGAAGCGTTTGAGGTACAGACTGGGGTTAGACAAGGCTGTCTGCTGTCACCAATGATTTTTCAAGTGGTAGTGGACTGGATCATGCGGGAGACAACGAAAGATAATAAGACAGGAGTCCAGTGGACTCTCACACAGTGTTTGGAAGACCTTGACTTTGCAGATGATCTATGCCTCATGTCCCAGAAGTATGAGCATATGCAGCTCAAGACAAATAGGCTTGCAAAAGAAGCAGCAAAAACAGGTCTAAAGGTGAACATCGAAAAGACAGAGGTGATGCGGCTCCACAACAAACAGCAAACGCCAATTACACTTGGAGAGCACAACCTTAAAGATGTAGACTCCATTACATACTTAGGTAGTATCGTCACAGCCACTGGTGGAACAGATGAAGACATGAAAGCTAGAATTAATAAAGCCAGACACATCTTCACCACCCTCAAGCCTGTGTGGAGTTCAACAGCACTATCCACACACATAAAACTCCGCATCTACAATACTAATGTTAAGTCTTTGCTCCTCTACGGGTCTGAAACATGGAGAGTCACAAACACCACCTCCAACAAACTACAAACCTTCGCTAACAGATGTCTGCGCCACATATTACACATCAGATGGCCAGAAACTATAAGCAACAAGATCCTGTGGGAAAAAACAAACCAAGACCCAATCACTAAACAAATAGCCCGCAGAAAGTGGCGATGGATTGGACATACCCTCCGAAAACCACCAGGAGACATTACACGCCACTCACTAGAGTGGAACCCACAAGGCAAACGGCGAGTTGGGCGTCCCAGAAAAACTTGGCGAAGGTCATGTGAAGAGGAGATCAGGCAATGTGGACACACCTGGGAACAACTGAAAAGAGCTGCCCAGAATAGAGTGCGGTGGAGAACTGTTGCCGAGGCCCTATGTTCCACCAGGAACCATGATGATGATGATTTAGATTACACAGTTTAAGCTGTATGAACAAAACAGGATTTAAATTAGAAAAAATAATATCTTTATGCATTAAGGTCAGCTTAAAAATAATATTTGTTTGTCTTCTCCTGACTCGTTGTAAAAAAAAATTGGGTTGGTAGATTAGACAAATTTTTTCTCAGAAAACAACAATTTAACTGCTATTTTTTAAATTTTCCAGAATACATAAAAATTGCTTCAAATAGGTTAATTTTTTTAAGATGGTCTAATAACAATTATTTAGAAAAACCAAGTGAAAAATAATGCAGAGCTTTATGCACAAACACAATTTTAAAAAGTAAGCAAATTATGCACACTTTTATGGCACGCCAAATTCACAAAAATGAGATAAACCTAGTTTCACATTTGATAAACTAGGTTTATCGACTGTAAACTATAGTTTACAAACCGTAAACTATAGTTAACGATTCGTTAAGTATAGTTAACGATTCGTTAAGCATAGTTAACGATTTGTTAAGTATAGTTTTCATCTGTAAAACTATATTTAACGGTTGTTAACTATAGTTTACGAATGATAATCTAAGTTTATCTGTCTGTAATAATTATATAAGCGTTAACAATAGATTTTGTTGATAAACATAGAATCACGTTTGTAAACTATAGTTTACAATCGTAAACTATAGTTAAGAGTTGTTAATCATAGTTTCACAAATCGTGAAACTATATTTATCAGATCGTTAACTATAGTTAACGTTTTGTAAACTATAGTTTACAAATAGTGAAACTGTATTTATCAGATAATCTATGTTTTGCAATCGCAAATGATAGTTTTCGGTGTTAAGTATAGTTTACGGTTGTGAAACATAGATTATCGCGTTAACTATAGTTTACAGATGTAAAATATAGATTAAGGTTGTTAACAATAGTTTACAGTTTGTAATCTATAGTTTACAACTGATAAACCTAGTTTATCGATTGTGAAACTATGATTTGCATACTTTTGTGAATTTGGCGTGCCATACACTTTAATAGAAATTTTAACTTCATTAACAAATTCATCACACATATCAAATTCATTAAATGTTATAAGTCAGAGAAGTCTAGACAAGTCCAAGGGACTGTGCTTTGACCAAACTTGAATGTACATGTATATACAAAATGGAGAGATGCTTGCATAATAAGTAAATATTCATCAAATATGTTGCCAATAGGATTTCTAACCCCACCCCCCAAAAATAAATTCTTAGGCACTTCAATGTGCATTAAAAATTCATTTAACAAATTATTTTTTTATACATTTGTGGAAATTATCTGCAAGTGTATGTATTTTCTTAAGTACTTCAATGTGCTGAAAAAATTCACCCTATACAAAATATTTGTAAATATAATGATAATTTTGGAACAAGATATTAAGAATCCTTTATGCATTAAATACTAATATAGTGTACATGTATATTCTGTGATCTATACACACTATGTGATGTGTTTATTTGTTAATGTTAATTTTTTTTTCCTAATCCACAAGTCATATAAAACTACAGAATGAATCTTATTAAAAGAAATCACAACACTGTAAAATTTTGGAAGGCAATTTTTCTTTATTTAGCAAAACCTTTATGGCTGGACATTTTTGATCTCCTTTTCCAAAAAAAGAGGGTGAGCTTTTAAAAAAAAACATTTTTTTTTCTATTTTAGCACTGATTTTTTTTCCATGCTAAATTCTTGATACAAAAAATGTGATAAACCAACTAAATTTGATCTTAATTTGGATACTTATTTAAAAATTACCAAGTTATAGCTACTTATGGCCTTATACCAATCAAACCTCCTAATAATTGCTACACTATTAATGTTCTCTCAGATAAACATGCTAATGAGAATTTAGCATTAATTAATTTACTAATATGTACATGTAAATGTGCATTTTTACTGATGTGCAAATGTGCATTTCGTTGTTATATAATACTAGTATACCATATTTCTATATTGTACTGTAATTCACAAGGAATACATTTATATAGACAAATTTAAAAAAAAAACCCAGAAAACTATATTTTTCAAGTAGCATATATGAAAAAAGCATCACTCTATGAAAGAATTAATTAAAAAATATGCCACAATCAATCTACATAGAAAACTAGTTCTATAAATATTAACCAGTATTGATTAATTTTCTTTTGAAAATCATTCACAAAGAATTATGATTATAAAATTATATAACTTGAATTTAATATAATTTTCATTTTACAAAAGTAACAAAAGTAAATTGCCAAGGGAAATGACTCTATCATTATGAGAATATACATAATTTGCAAAATTAACAATGATCTGTTATCGTTTCATGACCTACAGTGAAACACTATTCATTTGCAATAACTGTTTTTTTTTTTAATACAAACTGAAGTAAAGAAAAAATACATCCAATTTTGATATAAATTTCTTAAGAAGAGCTGCTTTTTAGCAATGTGCCAAGAAAAAACAAAATTGCTTATCGGTACTTATAAACATGATTCATGATAACTACAGAGAAAATCATTCTGCTGTAAATGTGAATTCACTGTAAGTATGTTCTTTAAAACTTGGTTTTCATCCATTTTTTATCTTTGACAATGACAGATTTCAAATATCAACCAAATAAGATATATATATATATATATACACTAAATGTTATTTTTGTAAATGTTTGTCATTTCACTCTCTTAAAAAAAGAGGTATATCTACAGAAGAATTCTGATTTATTTAAAATGGAACATGCTCCCTTCAGCATTTTGGTTTCCTATGGGTCTAATAGAACAAATCATGAAATGGTTTAAGCACTGAATTCATATTTTGGGATGTCTTTGGTCTTATAACACACCTGGCCGTGCCGACAAATTGAATTCCCAACGTTAGTGCAGTATGTTGGCATGGCCAGGTATGTTATAGGTCTGAAGACATCCCAAAATATGAATTCAATGCTTATATTTACATTCTCTAATTTTTCCTCTTCATAATTGTTTATTTAGGTAATTTTTATTGTGAATTTAGCTCCCTTCAAAACTGGTGTGCTTTATAGACATAAGAGCCATTTGTGACATTGCAAAGTTAAATAATGCAAATGAACATTGCGAGGAAAAAAGTGACAAATTAATTTTAAATGCACATTTGTTGTATTTTTACATTAATTTAACAGGGTTAATTTCTTTTATAAAATAGCGTCAAAACAATGTACAGTTTGGTGTTCCTGGCGTATTGAAAATGCATATACATGATATAGTTCCTACTGTGTAATCTAACGCGCAGTGACAAGGTTTCGCGCGTGTTATAGAAATTTGAACGTCATGAACTTCTAATGGATTTCATAAAGAAAATTACAGTGAATGTAAACATTACACTATAAACTATGAATAGGACAATATAACTGCAGTAACAATACATTTCTACTTCTATAATACATAAAGCAAAAATCCATTTTTTTTTTATCACAGCACATTTTGCCCTAAGGATTAAAATTAGAGTATAAAAACATTGTATTTACATTCTATTCAAAATACTCAAATTTTTCTTTTCTTTATCATTCCAGAATATATAATTGAAAAATAAAAGCATCAATCTTGAAAATATAGAGTAACTATAAGGCCATGCGAAGTTAATTCCTTGGTTCTCAGACCTTTTTTCAAGAAATATGATGAGATAGGAAAGCTTCTTTTTTTTACTTTTTTATTGCCCCAAAACATGATGAGGCAGCTTTTTAAATTGTACAAAACCTCGAAAAATGATGAGGGAGGTAATTTGTTGTTTTTTATTTTATTGATTTAGCAATAAAAAAAAGTCAATGAGGCACCTGAGAACCAAGAAATTGGTTTTTTATGGCCTAATGAACTAAATAAAATATTTTCTTTTGGCAAGAAACCTAAAACTAGAATAAAATATTATAAATCTTTTTATAGAATCTCTCTCATTCACTCTGTGACCCCCTTGGCTGCTAGCTCCTCTTGAACTCTTTGTAGGTAGGTGGGATCAGGGTATCCAAATCTGTTTAAAATCAATATTGATCATAATTAATGAAGAATATGTCAAATACATATTGTATACTTTTTATGGATTAATAGTTAGAAAATAAGACTGATCCTAAGTACAGGTGTACCAAAATGTTCAAATAATAACAAAACATTTTTAAAACCAGAAGTCTCTGTCGAGACTGAAGCTCTACTGGTTTGTACTTATAGCAAAGGAAGAGAAAAGTACTTAAGCAGTTGGAAATTGAAACTTTTCAACAGCAATAAATAGAATAATGATCCTTGATTAAGTCTCTATATATGTTCTTAGTGCAGTCTACTTGCATGCCACATTAATATTATAATCAGACTAAAATTGTATTTGGAGTAGCATTTTGAAAGAATTTCACAGAAATTCCTATTTTTAGTAACCACGGCAACACAGTTCATCGAAATCAAAAACCGATATACAGAATTATGTATCTTATTGTAGATTACTTGTGTGCCAAGTTATACTGAAATCAGACTAAAACTGTAGGAGTGGCATTTTGAAAGAATTTCACGGAAATTTCTATTTTTAGTAACCACGGCAACACCGTTCATCGAAATCAAAAACCGATACACAGAATTATGTATCTTAGTGTTGTCTACTTGTGTGCCAAGTTATATTGAAATCAGACTAAAACTGTAGGAGGAGTAGCATTTTGAAAGAATTTCACAGAAATTTCTATTTTTAGTAACCACGGCAACACCGTTCATCGAAATCAAAAACCGATACAAAGAATTCTGTATCTTAGTGTAGTCTACATGTACTTGTGTGCCAAGTTATATTGAAATCAGACTAAATCTGTAGGAGGAGTAGCATTTTGAAAGAATTTCACAGAAATTTCTATTTTTAGTAACCACGGCAACACCGTTCATCGAAATCAAAAACCGATGCACAGAATTGTGTATCTTAGTGTAGTCTACTTGTGTGCCAAGTTATATTGAAATCAGACTAAAACTGTAGGAGGAGTAGCATTTTGAAAGAATTTCACAGAAATTTCTATTTTTAGTAACCACGGCAACACCGTTCATCGAAATCAAAAACCGATATAAAGAATTATGTATCTCAGTGTAGTCTACTTGTGTGCCAAGTTATATTGAAATCAGACCAAAACTGTAGGAGGAGTAGCATTTTGAAAAATTGTTTACAGACGGACAGACAGACAGACAGACAGACAGACGGACGGACGACGGACGCATTACTATCGCATAAGCTCTTCTGGTCTCTGACCAGTAGAGCTAAAAAAATTATCAAAAGTATGGTAATTAACCATAATGGTAATTTTCGATAGCAAAGTTATCAGAAGATCAACAAATAAATAAATCCCTACCAAATCAAATGACTAACCTCTGAGCCCCTGTGTCCCTTTTGGTTTTGTGATGAATGTCATTCCAGGTCACCACATTGTCTTTTCCAGTGGTTCTGGAATAACCAATGGTGAAGGTCAGTTTTCTGTCGAACGCCGTCTGTAGCAGTCTCAGAACTTTTCTTCCCTCCTCGTTGTCTGGGAGAAATCCTCGTCGCTCTGTCCCATCATAGGGTTTACCAGGATTAGGATGATCTGGCTGTTGGAGGAAAATGTTTCAAAATAGCATATAGCCATTTAAAGGTTAGAGTACGTCAGTTAAACTAGAAGTTGTCTCCTGCAAAGACAACAGCATATTGTTTGGCTATCATTAATTAGAATATATGCATTTAATTTACAAAATGACAACTATATACCGTAGACCAACATTTGTTTGCAAGCAAGAAAGTATTACGACTTTCACCACCTTATTGTACAAGTTATTTGTTGAATGTTGCCTAAATAGAGAAAATTAGTTATTGCAGATTAATTTCAAACTAAATAGTTCTATATAAAAGATGTCAAAATAATAATTGGTTTACAGTACATGAATTTGTGCAAGTTAGATACTTAGTTTATCAAAATTAAGATTAAAATACTTTCTACAATTTCATATAATGTGTTTTCCTCACCCCTTGGGTTCCTGGATTAAACTTATACTTGACAACAATGGTTCCAAACCCTTCATACCCTGGCAAAGGTCGTCTTTCTTTTTCTACAGTCATTTTTCCTGGGGGCTGATTTCCAGTGATTTCTCCAAAAATCTTCCCGCACACAGGACATGCCTGTTTGTGTTGGGAAAAAGACTGTGTAAGACAGCCTTTACAAAATTCATGACCACAGGTGAGTTTAATGCCATTTTTAATATTATCCAAACAAATGACACAAGTTGCTGTTTTAGCAGCAATACCTGGGTCCTCATTTCTGTCATCATCACTAGAACCATTGCTGTCACTATCATCACCTAACCCAATGATGTTCAGGTTTCCCTCATTTTTCCCAGCTGACGTTGTATTTCCAGGAATTTCACTTTCATCATAACTGCCCATTGAAACACTGCTCATGGCAATGAGTTCTTGAATGTTTGGTTTCTTGTCCTTTCTCTCAGCCCCTGTGATTGACTTTTTCTCAGACATTGAAGTGGACCTCCCTGTTTTAGGACGTGCCCCTGTTCCTCTGAAATCCAATTCTTTTCTATCAGCTACAGTTCCTCCAGATTTTGAATGGGACCAACTGTTTTGTCTGTTGAGGATTCTATGGTGACCATTAACTGTTGTTTGGTCGTCATGTCCCAGTGCTGTCTCACTTCCAGGTCTTGATCTGTGATGTCTGGATGGAGTTTGGACAGCTTCATTTGCTTCTTTGCTGACATTGCATTCAAAAACGTCCACCAGTGATTTAGTAACAGTGGGATTTCTGTTAATCAAATGAAGTTCCTTTACACCATAATTTGGCTGATAGTTCTGACAGAATTCAGCAAGAGCTTGAAAGAATGTAGAACAGCATTTCCTTAGGTCCTCCGAGTTCTTTTCAATCTGACCTAAATTGAAAAAGAATGGATCAAATTTTGGGTAAAATAAATTAGATTAAATAACCTTTTAAAATAGCTTAAGCAACATTTTCAAACAACTCACCTGCTCCAATCAAAGGCATAGCAAACTTTCTGGATTTTTTGTAGTTGAAGATTGTACAGAATATGCTCTTCAGTGTGTCTCCGTATAATTTAAGATTGTAGTTGTCTGCCCTAATCATAGAACTTATAACAGCATGAGCAACAAAGCCCACCCTTAATTCCCCTCCACTACAGGTTTCAATGTCTCCTTGTTTTCCTTTGATACTTCCATATCCATATTTGCTTCTGATTTTAGAATAACTTTCACTGTATTTTGAACCCCCAGCTGTAGCTATTGCTTTTGCTAATGGACCAATACCAGTCATTCCATCATCATTGCTACATATTATGGCATCTCCTTGAAACTTTACAATACTGCCAGTGTGAATCTTAACAACCAGCACATCTTGAATTTCGAACACTTTTGCAGCTTGCTGTCCTATACTTTTATCAGGAAGTTTTACAAGATTCTTTAAGCAGCCATGCCTATTAGAATTGGGGTTTCTGACCTCCCTGTCTGTATCACCTGTTGTTAATGTTGCGGTATTTGGTTCCTGATGTTTGGCAGAATACCCCGATTCTGAAGAATGGCTTCTTCCGAAGTCATGCCTTGAAGATGAGCTTACGTTTTCAGTTTTCTCTCTATTTGATGGTGGTGGTAAAGTTTTCATCAACCTGGGATAACGTGACTTTGCACTTGTTATGCCAATGGACAGAGGGTCTTTTTGGTATCTATCATAAGCTGCAGTAAGCTCATTATAAACATTCACATTATGATCCACTATGTGAATTTCTCTCACCCAAAAATGACTTTGTTTACTGAATTCATGAATTCCAAGCAAATACATTTCTGCACACAATGGCAGAGGCACTCCAAAAATTCCTGAAACGTAAAAATGGATTTTATTCTGTAATTTTACGCATTATCAATTAATAAAACACAAGGACTAGGTACATGCTTCACAGGTATTAAAAAGAGCATTTTTTTTTAAAAAGTGCACTAATCATATGTTTATGCATTATTTACAGATTTATAAAGCAGTGCACTTATTTTAACTAAAAGTGGATCATCAAAAAACATACCAGAACTTATAGCTGGCATTGCTATTGAAGAAATCTTGAGACTATCTGCCTTTTCCAAAATTTGTTTCACAGTCTGGTTCAGATGAAATATACACTGAGTTTTGTCCATATATAAATCCCATCGAGGACCAACAGCATTAAGTATATACTTGAAATTCATTTTCAAATTTCCTGGGGATGTTTCTAATACCTCTGCTGGATGCAATGCTCTGTTTAGTGTTTTAAGTTTTCTTTGACATTCTTTGTTGAATTCTTCTCCAGCAGCTTGATAAATAGCAAGTGCAACACCTGCACCATGTGACAAATTTTCGTTTGCAGCATTAACAATTGCACCTGCTTTTACATTCAGTATGGAATCCTTATATATTTTCACGTTAATATTTCCTATTTTAAATTCTAATTGTTGTCTGCTTGATGGTGTGCTGATTGACTGAGCAGCATATCTGAATGCATTCTGATCTGTGCCCCCAAAATGTTGAGGATATCCAGATTTCAATGCAACTGCTGATGAAGACAATGGATCAGTCTTTATTTTTTTGGATGCAGCCAACAACTCCTTCAGTGTTGAAGGATCAGTAGCTATGAGGTGAACTTCTTTCAAATGGATTGGAATATAATCACAAATAAATTGTTTAGTCTCAAGAATGTAAGATTCAGCACACAATTCAAAAGGAATTCCAAGAGGTCCTAGAAATATTAATTATTTGTAGAATTATCATTAAAGTTACATTATTATTTTGATCATGGCAATGCTACAAATATTTAGTGTAAACTCTATTCCTTTGCCTATGAGCAATTTTTAGGTCTTTTGCTAGATGAAAAAATTTTTCATTTGAAGTCAGAAGAGGGCAAAAAAAATTAAATTGAAGTTGGCTTAAAATATACAGTAAAACTCGTTTAGTACGAACACGGATATAGCGAAAACACGGATATAGCGAAGTTTTTCGGGGTTCCCGGCAATATTCTTAGCAATTCTTTGTAAAATTTTACGGTTATAACGAACTCTGATACGGATATAGTGAACTGATTTTGAGTCCCGTAGAGGTAAAATATAATGAAATTTACATCTTTTATAACGAATTTTCAAAAATCTCAAAATAAAGATATGTTGAACTGACTTTATTTTAGTAAGAATTTGCAAATGAAATTCAATTCATAACGAAAATCTTAGTTAGCCAATGCATGTATCGTAATAATTGCTTCCCTGTCATATTTGGAAGTATTATTTGAAGGAAAATGTGCATATTGCGAGTTCGCTATATATACTTATACGAATTCGCTATACGGATACGGATATAACGAATTACGGATATAGCGAATTAAATTCACAGGTCCCCAGGACTTCGCTATAACCGAGTTTTACTGTATGTTAATATCTTCGATGAAATATCAAAGAGAATTTTGTCATAATTGGGATTAATTTTTTTCTTATATGTTGCACATTAATAGGCAATTTCCTTGCTTTGGTTGATCATTAAGTGATGAAAAAATATGTATAGTATACACCTATTTACTGGCTAAATGAGGACAATAGCAAGCTTATTGTTCAACAAGACAACAACTATATATTTCCCAAGGTGCAGCTGAGGGAAATAGTTGTTGTCGAGGGGGACAATAAACTTGCTATTAAGCCCGTGTCACACTGTCACGATTTATAGCTACGATTCA